TTTTTTGTTTTCTTTTGAAGCCAAATTTATTTCTGGGGTTAGAAAGCCAAATTCATGGTTTCAGTTATATTAATGTGGTACTATAACTTTAGTTCAAAATAAGATAATAGAATTCTGTTTCTCACTTAGAAAACATCATAGAAATATTCAAAGTTTCCATTACAAATACTTAAAATATCAAAGCTCCTTTGTAGTCTACCAACCTCCCTTTGATCCTTCCTGGAGAGCTTGGATTTGAACTGCTGCTGGCATTGCTTACAGTTTCCATTCGTGAAGATTTGGATTGAGACTGCTTGCCTGCTGACGAAAGAGGCTTATTAACTGCTCCAAGAACATTGGCTGCTTTGGGCTGAAACCAAAAATATATTTCCTTTATTTTAAGCTACACGTTTAGATATTGTTAACATGTACTATGCTTAAAATACAGATTTCACTTTCTGCAATCAATATCCTAACTTTAAGACAAAGCAATGAACATTTTCATATGAAGGTTACAACAGACACCAGAAGGAAGCTGACAAAGCTGTAATCAAATAGCTAGCTGCCACCAAAACCAGTATTCTTCTCTCCACCCTTATACTCTGTCCTCTTCTCAGTGGTAGTACTGGGTGCTTACCTGACCTCGCAGTAAGCCACTTCAGCACTTTTTGTGCAGTTTGCTTTCTGCTGATCTAGCTGCCTGAACCAGCTCACCATTTGGATCAGATAAACATCTGCACTGGCAAAACAGAAAGAGCAGTAGGACAGCCCTTTCGGCAAAGATGCCATTAAACTGGCTTAGCTCTAATGGCCAGCCATGCTAGTTTGAACTGGGAATGAATGAGAATCTCAAAAATCAAATACTGTGGAGAAGATTTTGATACTTCATGCACAGATTTAAAAATGTTAGGTTTTTAATAGGTGCCAAAATTTCCAGACACTGGTGACGTCCAGGTTATTCATTTAACTGGATTATATTTCAGACATGCCAAATACCTCCAGCTCATACTAACTTTTGAAATAGTTGAAAGAGTTCAGTTACTCCTAAAGAGAATATACCTTTATGCCAAACACCCACGTACAAAAATGTTGAATTAAAGACCATTCCCCACATTTCTCATTATCTAAGATGATCCATCTTCTATTTCAATATTAGATTTTAGCTATATCTCAAGTTAGTGACAGCTAAAAAAAAAAGTTCAACACGCACATCACAGCAGCTTTCACTGTTCCTTTTTTAGAGATATGCACCATGGATGTGCTGGTTATACTTTTATAGCCAGAGGGAATTTTACACTTACACCAAAGATTCACTCTGCACTGAGTACAAGAAAAACAGCATACCCTTTCCAAAAAAGGTTAACCATTTTGCAAACTTGTCAAATATTATGGGTGGTTTTTTTGGACTCTCTCTTTTTAAAGACAACAGGCTTTGCCTACTATTACCACAACCCAGCACAGACAGTAGCAGGTTTCCCTTCTACCTATCTCTTTCTCTCCACCTGTTCACTAACCTTTGGTATATAAACCCTCTGAGCAGAAACAATCTGTTTTCTTAAATTTGAAGTGTTTCATTAACTACAAGTTAGTTTCCTTAAATAAAAAACCAAAACGAAACCAAAAAAAACCAAACGAAAACTGCAAACACAGCACCAAAACCAAAACCCCCAGTACCTCCATACCATACATACCTTTCCAGGAGTAAAAAAAGACTTCATTTCCGGAGGAAGATAATTTTTGGTGTTACTGAAATTCTGTAAAGAAAGGAAGGGGGCGGAAATCACAGCAATAATCAATGAACAAGATAAATACATTTTGGAGGTAGTACTGAAAAATTTTCTTTATGTTTTTGAGATTTTAAATGTGAACAGTATCTCAGGTAGGGAGAAGTCAGTGTGCGTATACATATATGAGTATTTATGAAAACATATACATACATATTCAACTACATTATAATAGGGAAAAGTCTGAAGTTACAAGAATTATTAAAAAAAGAAAAACAAACCTGAATTACAACTAACAAAGATTTAAACAGACTTATCTCAAGAAAAATTAAATGCCAAGGTGTACCTTGTCAGGTTGAGTAAAATATCTGGCTGGAAGTACAGGGTCTTTAGGGGATTCCAAACTGTATGTTGTACTCTTTGACATAATGATATTCATTGCTACATCACAGACTGTGTATAGTTTCTGCAAATAATCAAATTTGAAAAAAAAAAAACAAATAACACTTTAGAAGTTCATCACAAATCTTGACAAAAGACAGTATCTTTTGAGCACAGAAGTACAAGAACTCACAGTTTAAAAGGCATCACCTTAAACATTTAACATTAGCCTGCATCTTAAACAGTGTATTGCAGGTACTAAAATATAGAAGCAAAAGACAAAAGCACTGTAGGCCCAGCAGTTGAAGTGAGCTAGCTTTCAGGATCTTTCTACACTTAAGAGTAGTATATGCCATCGTTTCAAGGACAAAGCTAAAAAAAAAATCTCACCTCTGTGGGAACAGCAGAAAAGTGACACATCTGTACATTATGTGATGCAAAAACCTCAAAAACAAGATCAGGGTTTGATACACTCGCTACGCAACACACACCGGAGACATCTGACATTTATTTTTCTTCCTATACTAAACTTACTCTTGCATTTTCAAAATTAAATATTACAAAGCACTTTAGTGGATAACTTAAACAGTAAAAGTCATAGTTTACATATATTAGCATTTAATAATCTTACTGAGACAGAAACAGAAGGTCTGCAAATTATTACAACTCTCCTGCAAATGTGCAATATCTACTGAAGTGCAGGAAAATAACTGTCATCTAAACTACAGTAAATATAATCATTACGGTATATGAAGTATCATCTCCCACATACAATTCTATTGAAAGACATTTTAAAGTTGGTGCGTAAACAAAGAGCAACTCATTTCCAGAAGCAGGCCAGAATTAAATGCAATTTCCCGTCAAAAAGTATCACCTACTTCATTCATTTTTGGATCATCTGGTCCTTGAGCATCCTTAGTTTGTTTGATATTTTCTACCATTTTTCTGATAAATGCATGACTGTTGTTTTCATTTTTAGCCATCAATATCTCCAGTATGAACCACAGGCACCTAAAGGAGAAATGCAGTACTCCTCATGAATAAAAATGCAAAAGAAATTATTTTTAAAAGCACATCTGAGAAAGTGGTTTACTCTAGGTTTTACTAGTATTATGAATTTGAACTAGCCTAACTCTGGGAAACCAATTCTTTAGGAAAAAAAAAGAAATGAGGGTAGGATGAGCAGAAGGTGAAGGTTCCTCTGTAAGATATCATAGAGCACTAAAAAAGCACATATACTATTTCTCACAATATTTTACAGAAATAACTGCCGTTGTTATGCACACTGGGCAGTGTATTAGGGTACCAGAATGAACTAACCTTTCACTTGGAATAGATTGTTTTAACCCTAGAAATAACACTAAAGTACTCTTACTCTTTGATGTCCTTGAGTTGTTCAATGTCCTGGACTTTGACATAATCTGGGTCATGAGCTAGAAGATGGATAGTATAAGGGACAACGTACTCTGGTAGAAGTGACAACAGTTTCTCTGAAACGCAGAAAAAAAATGTGTCAAAAGACTACATACGAAGAAATAAGCTTTTCTACTACAGACAAAAGAGCAAAATTTAAGGTCAGCGTACATTAAGACAAAGTATAGGCACATGTGGGCCTATCATTTCTTTATGATGCTGCATCTCATGGTTGATGTGCAGATGTTTCATGCATGCAGAAATTAAGATTTTAAGTATCTCTTACTCAGGTCTGCGTATTTTCTAGCTACCTTGAGACTACAGCTACAGTCACCCCCGACTCCCAATCCTTTCCTTGGTTCAAAGCCTGTATTCTGAAAGACTTTGAAAAACAGAAGCGAGGACAGATCCATTTTAACTGCAAGATGCAAGACCAGCACAATGGCAGGTTAAGCTACTTTGTCTTTCTTTGGGCATTGCAGCGTACAGCCTTGCTGTCAACAGAACAGAAGAAATGATCTTCGGAGGGCTTTGCAGTCCCACTGCCACAGTGTTCTCCAAACCCACGGCCGACCTTATCTGTTTAAAGAAGGGACAGGAGGTAACATGAAAGCTATAACAAAGTACCAGCGGACTGAGTTTGAAAGGCTGAATCTCACTTGAACAGAGCAGCGCAACTGAACTATGACATTCAAAGCAGTCAAAACTTCTTCTAGCATCGCTGAGACTTCTAAGTAGTCCTAAGCAAGGACTGCAGGAAAAAGTCTTCCTACATCACGACCGTCAGATGGCCTATCTTCTTCGGGGATTCAAAAAGTAAGGATTGTTGCCAAAGGCCCTCTCAAAAGTTCGGATCACAAAATACACATTCCATAAGGCAACAAACAAATTCCTGAGCTAACCAACACTACGCAGAGTGAACTTCAGCACCTCAAAGTTTGATGATGAAAACCAGAATAAAAAAGGTCATATCCCACAGGGCAAGGACAACAAAAAGACAAGTTGTACAGCAAAAGTCAAAAAGCATTTTGCAAAAAACATCCACGCTGCTTTCTTTAGCCTAACGATTGACAGGAACTGGAGGATGCACAGCACTTCCAAGTTACTAAACCGTACCCTGTGCAACAGAAAGGATGAGAGGCAAGGAAGGCATGGTAGGATTCTAGGTATATTACTATGGTACAAGCATCTGCTCTTGAGAGCTTGCGACAAGTGTAAAGTCATAGTAATAACATGCCTATGGATAAACACTTGAATGTGGATGTGAAGGAAGGACGGAAATTCCTGGCTCTGCTTTTGGGGGCGGGGGGGGAAATCACAATTTTTAGCTAGTGAGTGGTCATGAAAGACACGAACAAGTCTGGAAAATCTTCTTTTGGTAAGCTTTTAACTATCCCATATTACGTTATGAATAAGAAGTCCAAACATCTGTAAATCATTATATATAACAATATTTGAAAACTATTATAAAATACATTAGAACACTGACATTTTTATCTCTAATACATGTATTCATATGGAGATGCTTGACAAATATTGTGTATATCAAATAAAATACATCATTATTGTAGATTTCACAAGACTAACTAAATAATTGCCATGCATAAGCCAAGTCTTAGTCCATCCCATTCTTAAAGGTCTGCATAATTGGCATAATGCACAGCCCACATAAAATATTTGGATTCATTCATAATAGCAAGGAAAGCGTTCAAAATTAATAAAGGCCCACAGAAGACAGTGCTGTCAAGTTCCAAGGGGACACTTTTGGACAGTCATTGCAGTTGATGCAGTTAATTATCAAGAGTAATATCTCTGCTACATAGACTGTAAGCCATCATAAGGTTTAAAAGAAACAGTGAAATCACCCAATTTCTTTCTATTCCGAGCTATATTTATGTAATTGAAATCCAGTGTACTTTGCAAAGCAGTTTTTAATGTGTTTCAGTTGACATTCCACTATTAACTTTAAAAACATCCTTCACTTCTTCAAGCACTGTCCTACATTTTAGCCAGCAGCTGTTTGCATAACTTAAAAAAAAAAAGATGTGGCAGGGAAGAAAAAGAACATAATTATGATTTCAGAACAGAAGCAAAATTGGCTTGCCTTAGACATGTCCCAGGCAAATCAATCCACTATTATTTGTATTAATTAGGAACTTCAACAGAATCCTCATCAAGAGCTCATGAACTCAGTGTTTCATTAACTTCCTGCCTTGTACAATGTCTAATATAACTATAGCAATAATTGCAACTGGGCCTGGAAAACAAAGTGGACCAGATCCAGACAAAGACTGACATGTATTTGTCATGACAAAAAAAATAGTATTTACACATTCTTTCCTCATCACTAATGAAGAAAGACACAACCTGAAAGGTAGGGTGACTTTACAGACATGAACTACCAGCGCTTGAAACCAGAATGTGCCAAAGCCCCTCACAACAGGCCTTTGTGAGGATTTAGGAAAGAAACGTGTTTTTTTAAAAAAATTAATCTCTACTCTTGTAATTTTTCCACTTACTGACATCCAAGTAAAAGCCCAGCCTTAGAAAACAAAGATTCCTATTCAAGACACAAGTCTCTCCCCAGATGAAACTACTAACAGATACACAGTCATAAGTCTCTTCTTGAGTGGCTTCCACTCTGAATAGCATTTAGAGAATTTAAGAGGCCTGAGAGAATTTCCTCCCAGCCTGTAAAAGGTTCAGTGTGGAGGAAAGAGGTATTTTACTGTCTGGTACCAGTCCTTCGGAAGTTTTCCTTAGGCAAGGTATACAGAAGTTTACCATCTTTTCAACAGATGTTGAAATCCCCCAAAATATCTGAAAGATATCCTCCTCACCTGTACCAAGTTTTCAAGAAGAAAACATATCACAAAAATCACACGTTTATAGATTCCAAAAAATAGCTGCGTTAATCAAAGATGCAGATTCTTAGCTCTAGTTTTTTTGTGGAAGCTTTTCAAAGGAGGTGCTCTCCTCCGTAGTACCCCGAGTTACTGCACGGCCACTTGGGACAATGACAGAGGGAGTCACACACACATGTCAGTAGTATGATCTTACCAAAACTGAGTTGCAACTGTGCTACTGCAATAATGATTTTTTTTAAGATGCAAACAGTTCAAGACATTTTATTTATTAAAACCTCAGACTGGTAAATTTGAATGTCACAAAGTTAACATCGTAATCCTCAAAAAATCCTGCAATCTATATTTAATCCAGACTCTTCACAGATTATAGTACATATCAAATCAATGGCATCACTCACAGTAAGTCTTTCAGCAAGAAAAAAAAACAAAATATCACCACGCACACTTTGAGGTCCCACTGGATAAAAAGAATCGTACACACCTAGGGTCCTCTCCATTTCTACTACAGGTTTTTGATAGTAACTTTGCAGCATCTATTTTAATACTGTCAGGAAATCAGCAATTACTTTTAATCATATAAGAATTCTTACACTTTCCTTCTACAAAACTAAAAGGAGTTTTCAACATTCAAGCGGAATAGTCCTAGGATGACTTAAAGGCATTTGCTCAATGGATTTTTCTTTTTTACATGTTATCGACGAGGGAGAAAAGCACTGCTTTTTTTTTTTTCTTTTTTTTCAAGTCTAATTAACAATACAGAAAAGGATTTCTCTGCAGACTTACTCTCTGATCAAAGTCTAAGGGGACTAAGGCATACACAGACTGACATGGTTAATATAAAGTCTGTGATTCATAAATGCAGAAGGAAATCAGCTATCTGACAGCATCTGTGAGATCAGATTCACAAAACAGGTCTGGTCTATCCTAAGACGAGATGAAAAAATCCCCTTCATTTCACAAAGGCCAAAGCATCAGTAATCTTTCAAAGAAATAAAAGTTTCAAAAACTCTTGTTCCAAATACCCATAGCTCTTCATAAAGGTCTACTTTTTCCTATGACTATATACCAGAGTTGTCATACTGTACGTGTGCAGCTTTAAGTAAGTCAAAAGGGAAAAGGACTGATTTTATAAAAGAAGAATAGCTAACATTAATCCATAATAACTTACAAAGCATTCCCACGATCAGACTGCTGGCACTGGGAAGAAAGAATTACATAAACTCATCCTGAAATGCCTAGATAGTCCTTTGCCAGCATAAGACAAGATAAGAAGCTATTCAATGTAGCAGGGTAAAGACAGTCAATTTAGTACAGCATTTATGTCATTAAGGTTGCATATTATTAATTACTGAAGTAAAATTAATCATTGTCACTTCACTTACAACATAATTAACCATTAAGTTCAAACAGTACACATAACTTCCTTGAAAAACTACTTCACTTCCAATATACTTAGGCATAAGCATTTGGGCAGCTTTTAACAAAACTGAAAGATCTCAGAAGTGCCTGTTAAAAAAACCCTAAAGACAAACTGGACTCTATTTTCAGTTTTCATTAGATACCTCTAAGTGAAATTTACAGCTATTTTATGTATAAAAACAGAAAGCCATCAATATTTTCACAGTCTATTCACATTTACATTTGAACTATAGCACTTGTACCAAAAAGCAACTTCTATTCTCTTACCACTAACTGCTGCGTGTTGCTTCAGATATTCCCTTCTGACATTTATGTTCTTCACAAGGCACTGCCTAGCATGAGCTCTTCTCTCTTTCACGGGATCTTTTGCACACAGTGCACAAATAGCCATATATTCTAGTGGCAGCCGTAGTCTAGAAAGGCCTTTGTGAAGTTTCTGAGCAAATATTTGTCTCACTTGGTAACATTCATCCTATTAAAAAAAAATAAAAAAAAAAAGGCAAAAACAAAAAAGGTAACAGTAAACTTTTCTAAAAGTAATAATAGACTGTGAAATAAAACATGGAAGCCTGGGTAAATATGCCAAAAAATCAATTTCAGACCTCACAGCCACAGAAACACAGGAATTGTAAAGAACGTTTTTTAATGCCAATTCAGAGCAATTTAATTAATCAGTTGAAGCTCCCCTTAAGATCATGAGAAGAGTTAAGGTGCAGAAACTGTACAGGAAGATATCACACCCAGGACCCACGGCCTAATTTAGCATAGTACTGGGGCATGGAGTTAAACAAACTTGTTTACAATAGTACCACTTGCTTTGTGGAGCTGAAGTCAAAGACCTGCACACCAAAACAGTGTTTTAGCCACCAGTAACCACTGTGTCGATCTTACTACTGCGATTTCACAAAATTTCATCAAGCCATTAATATCAGAAACTGAATAAAATTCAACAAAATTACCAGATAAGGTCAATTGCTGAAGACAGTACCAAGCATTTCCATTATGCTATGGAAGCTTACGAACTATGATTGACCACGGAAGAGAACAACTCCTGTCTAATAGTTGCCAAATAACACAAAGTAAAATAATATGGAGGCGGCAAATGTACTTCTTTAATTTATTAAGCAACATATTTCCAGAAAAGATACGAACTTTAAAATTTTCTGTATGAAAATAACCTACATACTTTAAGACACCATTCAACATACCACAAACCATTCAGTAACACAGGCCAAAGAAGGTTAACAGAAGCAGGTGTGGAAAACAGTAGAAAATGTACAGAAAAGCATAAGGTAAACAAGGCCACCAAAACAGCTTGGCATATTTAACCTGCCAAAAAAAGGTCAAGAGGAAAGATTTGTTATCACTAAATATGAAGAAAAGAACATTAACAGGAATAAACAGATATTTCAGTCAAATGACAGTTTTGAAACCAGAAAGAATTGAAGAGGGTTTCCAGCTATCAGCCAAAGGAAGTGCAGAGACAAAACCTAGCCACTGCTAACACTGACACTGCTCAATTTGCAAATGGCATCAGAAGAGATCATGTATTAGATAAAACAAGCTCTCTCTCTCCACACCCCAAAATTAAATCCAGAAGAAATCAATCAAGCCCCTTTTTCCCTTCTGTGCTTCAAGCCATAGTCTTCCTCTATGGACTGAAACCCTGAAATGCCTGCAGTAGCCAGAGCTGAAGCAAAACCCAAGCCCACAAACCCAAACCACAAGACCTACTCAAGATCTATTGCCTCTCTATCACAAATCCAGCCCCCAGCAGAAGGCTAAGATACAGCCCTCTTTTCTTCCTCAGTAACATCACCTAAGTCTAAAGCCTTTGGAAAGCTGAGAAGAGACCTGGGCCTAGTTGGTATATTAACAAGGAAGCATGTCCTCCTTGATTTCGAGGACAAAGGAAGGTATAGTTCATTGTTACTGCCGGTATTGTGTGGCACAAATTGGAATGATTATTATTTCTCTTTTAATATTGAGAATAACCTTATAGTCAGCTCAGTTACACTAGTTCACTGAGAAGGGGGACCAAACTTGAAGTTCTACATTTTTAACAGCAAATAAAATCCATACATTAGCCCAATTTTACGTATCATCTACTTCTCTGAATTTAATGCCAATTCATCAGAGCAGAAGTTTACCATTTTAAAAAAAAAAATAAAAAAATTTGCAAAGCAGCATGTTCCCCTCAGACACAACTCTGATTCTTGAAAATGGACAAAGACTTATTTAAACAAAACACTCTCAGAGTTGACAAAGGAAACTGAAAAAGCTTTAGGATTTTTTTTTAACAAATGAAACTTACACAATCTGAAAGATTTATTCTAAATACAATTAAAATTGTATTTTCAACAGGAAAGCTTATTAGATCTTAAATCCAGTCTTAAAGCCTGTTAAACATTGAAGTGCTTAACACTATGCTCAATTATTTTCTACTCTATTTCAATATGAAGCTCTGCTGACATCAAAATTTGTTCTGCGGATCAAAGAACGTAACTGCTGGTTACGTTCTACAAACTACAGGTTTGGCCAAACACATACATAACCTATTTTAAAGTGACTAAAACTACATGCATTTAATCATCACAAAGTCTCTGTTTACCAGTGCAAACTTAACACAGCAATTAGCAGCAACACTTAATTATGTATTCTGTGCTCTAATCATTGCACATCACAAAACGGCAGTCTCAGAAAAAAAACCAGCCAGCACAGAACCACAGCAGAACCTGTGCAACAATTACAGACCTTAAAAATTAAGCTTTTGCTCTTTTTTAATATGCTTCCTGATCTGCCCGCTTAAAGAAAATTTGATGTAAATTAAATAATATAACACTAGAGCTGGCCTTGACACCATTTGAATGTCCTAATTTGTGGCTAGATTTGAGACTGTTAAGAATAAATGAACTTTTAGAATAATCAGTGTCAGATTATTTTTAGAATAATCAGTGTCTACCATAAAGAAAGAGTTTTTAGTACTGGAATCTCTAAGCATAAACATATATGCATGCATACATATACATGCAAATATCTCTAAAACAAATATACAGATGTTTTCCATGCATAAGTACCACTTACAAGTGCAAAAGTCACTGAAACCATTACAGTTACTCTGCACCTGAGGACCTGAACTCAACAGCCTGGCAGAGAAATGAAACTGCAGAGAAGATCTAGCAAAGTTATTCATAAATATTCAAAATCCCATTAGGAGCTGCAGTGAAAAGTAAAGGCAGAATTCCTGTCCTGACAAGAGCTTATCATCTAAATTCTAGTAAACAAGTGAGAAAGTCACAAAAGGCAAAGAAACATCCATAAATGAGGCGAGAAAGTGACAAAAGTGATACTATAGTGGAACAGATTCTCCTGGAAGCTAGCTATCTCAAGGCATATGGATATCCACAGGGAGGCGATTCCAGCCAGCCAACAGGGCTTCACAAGGGACAAATCACGGAGCCTTCCACAATGGAATGACTCCGCAGGTGGGTAAGGGAAGAGCAACTCATGTCACCGGCCTGGAGTTCTGTGAGGCCTCTGACACAGTCTCACACCACACTCTTGTCTCTAAATTGGAGAGATACGGCTTTCATAGATGGACTATCTGATGATAAGAAATTGGCTGGATGGCTGCATCCAAAGAATTGTGGTCAAAAACTCAGTGTCCAAATGGAGATCGGTAACAAGTGGTGTCCCTCAGGGGTCAGTACTGGGACTGGTACCGTTCAGTATCTTTATCAACGATACAGATGGCAGGATTGAATACACCCCTCAGCAAGGCAGGGGATGACACCAAGCTGAGTGGTGCGGCCAAAGTGCCGGAGGGAAGAGATGTCATCCAGAGGGACCTGGACAGGCTTCAGGAGTGGGTCCATGTGAACCTCATGAGGTTCCACAATGCCAAGTGCAAGGTCCTGCACCTGGCTTGGGGCAATCCTCAGTATCAACACAGGCTGGGGGATGAAGGGACTGAGAGCAGCCCTGCCAAGGACTTAGGAACACTGGCGGATGAAAAACTGGACATAAGCCAGCAATGTGGGCTTGCAGCCCAGAAAGCCAGTTGCATCCTAGGCTGCATAGAAAGAAGCGTGACCAGCAGGTCAAGGGAGGTGATTCTCCCCTTCAACTCTGCTCTCATGAAACCCCCACCTGGAGTCCTGTGTCCAGCTCTGGGGTCCCCATTACAAGACAGACATGGAGCTGTTAGAGCAGGTCCAGAAGGGGGGCCATGAAAATGGTCAGAGGGCTGGAGCACCTCTCCTATGAGGAAAGGCTGAGAGAGTTGGGGTTGTTCAACCTGGAGAAGAGAAGGCTCCAAGGAGACCTTAGAGCAGCCTTTCAATACTTAAAGGGGGTTTATAATAAAGATGGAGAAAGACTTTTCACCAGCACCTGTAGTAATGGGACAAGAGACATCAGTTTTAAACTGAAAGAGCTTAGATTTAGATTGGACCTACAGAAGAAATTTTTTATAATGAGTGGTAGGACACTGGCACAGGCTCCCCAGAGAAGCTGTGGGTGCCCCATCGTTGAAGGTGCTCAAGACCAGGCTGGATGGGGCTTTGAGCAACCTGGTCTGGTGGAAGGTGTCCCTGCCCATGGCACAGGGGTTGGAACAAGATGACCTTTAACAGTTCCTTCCAACCCAAACTATTCTATGATTCTACAGCAAGAGGTGATACTGACATGTTTATAAATGTTGATGACCCTATTAGGTTCTTCTAGTTTAAATCTCAGCTCTGAAAATTCCCTTTTGAAAACTGAGGAGAGGCAAGCATTAGACCCAAAGATAGCAAAAAAGGAAACAACACATCTGTTATCAATATCCATAAACAGTAAGACTGATACAGCTGGAAAATAAGAGGTGAAAAAGAAAGCGAGACACGGTGATGAAATGGAGGGCAAGGAGCTTCCACCTAACGTACTGCAGAGAGTTAAAACCACGAAGGCAAATTCTGATAGAGGAGAACTGCAAGGTTAACAAACAAAAATTTGCCACAGGAGGGAAATGACTGAAGAAATGAACAGATTTTGATCACTGGGATCCAAAGAAAACGGAACATGCAAATACTATATTGGCAAGGCGAGTCTGGCATGACATTACCCAGCTAGGGCATCCTTTCCGGAACAGGGACGTATCTTATTTGTCATTATGGTAAGTGGCTATTTTCTTCTCTACTAATTTTGTTCCAATTTGTAAAAATCTTTAAAACTCATTTTGACACATTTCTATTAGGTTTCAGAATAGGACGACTGAAAAGTATCAGTCCTCGCTTTGGGTGTAAAGACCTTCAGTTATTCCCACTGAATTTCTGCTCCCTTTTTGTTAGATTTCATCTGCTTAAGTAATTTTAAGTTTTGTTCCATGTCTCTTGTTTTTCATAGCATTTGGGAACCGAGTAAGGTCTCCTTTCCATAGGAACATAGAAGCTTAAAATGCACATAAACAGTGTTAAAATAATATAGAAGCCTAATACAGACTGTCTCACTCTGGTATATGAATGATTTTTCTAGCATAACTGTACGCAACTCCAAATCACTTAAGAACTTAAAAATATACTCTCTATGAAAATAAACAATATCCACACAGGAGCTATACTTTGTATTTTCTAATATTAAATGCCAATTTCAAATCTTCTGACATTTAAAATGGGTTCCAGCTTTTAAAGCTGTAGCCAGTCACAGGAGTTAAGGTCTAGAATGCAATATCTTTATTACTGAAGATATCTTCTGGAAGGGATTCCTTCCAGAGGATTCCTTGACTTTTGTAAAGTCAGGAGTTATACAAGTAACACCAAGATGAGTCCCTCCATGATCGCCTCGCTCTTGGGGTGTCAATCAATTTCTATAGAATTTGCTAAGTCTACAAGACAGGAACACAGAGGATCTCTAGATCTCTACTTACAATTTGAAAGTTATTTCCCTTCTGCTACTATTAGTTCACAAGCAGAAATTACTGAGAAATCTCTCCCTATCTCTTCTAATATTTAAAGGATGCCAAATATCTTTGCAGACCTCTGTGTTCCAAACATATTCTACCCAAGTATCAAGAAACCAAGGTCACTGTTGTCACCACAGTCAAATGTACTTTATATCATCTCATTTCAACTTCTAATAATGTCATAATGCAGCAGGGGTATTACTTTAAATCAACACCGAATTCCTTGGTTTATCAATATTCTAACATTTCACTACTTTAAGTTAACATTCCCTCACTGGGCAGCCCAGTACTATAGATCTAATTCTCATCCAAAATCAGTTTTCAGGATTATGTAGTGGGAAAATAAATTCATACCAAGGCTGAATGTTTTGCATAAAATCAGATTAGCAGAAGTATACACAACATACAGAACAAACAACATATATACTCGTAACATTTGCTGATAGCCCACAAGTCCCACCTAATTTTCTTACATTTATGGCTAGCGCACACAGCTGGTACTGTTCTAAGGTGATGATTTCATGGTAACAAGGTTCTTGTGCCAACTTCACAATAGCATTCCCTGCAGCCAGCCTCAACCGAGACATATCAGGTTTACTGAAAAACAAGCACATGGATTATGGAAGTTAATTAGTAAAAAATTATGTAATTATTTGACTTAATTAAAGCCCAATAAGTTTGCATTGCAGAAAAACAGGTACTTTAAAAAGATGGAAAAGTTTCCATGGACTTAGCCACCCCTGCCCTCCCAAATCAACAGCAGAAGTAACTTCAAACCAAAAGTAGTTTCCATGGTACCACATTTTACTGCCTATTACCACATACCTATTACCGTGCCCCAACTTAGCAATTAGAATATTCCTCGAAACTTCGTAAAAGTTCCGCATGGGTGTGAAACAGTTTTAGCTGTGCACTGGACCAGCACAGTCCAAATTGCACCTCAGAGACCTCATTTAGCATGTAAGATGCTTCTCTTCAGCATGCTGGTTTTCCTTCTGCAGGAGTCTCCTGCCAAACAAGTAGCCCATTTCTAGTCCCCAAAGTTGCCAAACTTTTTCTAGAAATGATAGCTCAAAAGCCATGCTGCAAGTCAACATAAATTAATTAGATATTATGATAGATGCCTAAGTGAATTGTATTTTTAAGACAATAATAAAAAGGATTCAGCAAGCAAAAACATTTTCAACAAGGTGAAAGTTTTGTTACTTGACTTGCACACCCAAATTGCACTACCACCTAGCAAAACACTCCAACCATTTGCTAATTTTCATATCAACAGATGAATGGGCTTTTCTGTACCTTATAACCGTATTTACAAAGGTTATCAGAATATCAAAAGCAGCTTCACATGAGCTTTGCAAACTGATGTCCACTTAATGTGTGCACTAAAACTTAGTTGAGCTTTCACTACTCTTAGAAAATTTATTTCAGTAAAAGTGTATTACTTCTGCCTTTCTTCAGATCAAACACAAAAGAATTAAGTTTTATGCATCTCTGACTTAAACCACTAATGAATTCTATTCAGAAGGAATAAGTACAGCTTTCTCCTTCAATAACTTGGAGCATGAATCAAGTCATATTCTTATCTAGAAATAATTATTCATTTAAGCAGGGCAAATATTGTTTAACTTCTTAATCATTTGCTCTTTGTCCTTAGGAAGAGCAAACACTGTAAACTTAAATCCATTATCATGAAAACTGTATAAAGCATTTAAAGAATGAGATTAAAAAAACATTATTAAACACAGAGTGCATGGTAAAAATACCTACTGAAGTGCTTAAACCTTAAAATTTACCTAACCCAGGCTTTATACACACCTCAGTATTTTATGGAAACCACAACATTCAAAAAAAACCCAAATCAAACAGATCACAAGCAACGAAGTGACAGGACAAAAGCTGCACTATCTTTCAAACAAAGCATGAAGATTAACATGGTAACGTCTAGTTCTTAAATGCCAAACTTCACTTTAAATTGCATCTACTGTGATAAGTGAACCCAATAAAGATTCAATTTTTGCACTTCAGTGACAACTGAGCAATAATGACTTACAAGTACAGAGTGATTGAGCCAAAGCAAAGGATAAAATTAAGAACTTTCAATCTTCTTCAGCTTTGGAGGGATAACATTTAATTCTGAAAACTGAATCAAAGATATTTGACATAAAAATTGGCCAAATCTTTACAGAGTGTATGTATCACAGAAATACCCACAAGCACGTGTGCATGCTGTGGAAAGCAGAGGGCAGTGTCAGTTTGTTATAGCCAAAAGCTTTCTAATCTGCATTATCCCAAACCACACAATTATTAGGGCTGAAACAAAAGCTTCTGTATGATATAACTGCAGTTTTTGATTACTTCTAATAATTTTGAAAATTAGTACCAAGGATGCCCTTGTCCTATCAGAAGATCTCCAAGAAATACAAGAGGGACATGGACGTTTTCTGGAGTGCTATTACTCTTGCTGAAGACCAGATATTTGAAATGAGTGCAGCCACATGGAAAGACGTTACCAAGTGCAAAACACAGTCTTAATTAAGGTGGTAGGCTGCACAAAGATAATCCAAATACATGCATCTTGAAAACATACCTGGTGCATAATCATCTTCTCTCACTTTACAAACTAGCAGTTAACATTTTTTTCTTGTACTCCAGAAGATAAATGCCAGGTTCCAATTTTCTAAGCATTTTCCATGTTCCATGGAATAAAAAGTGTCTTTTGAATACAACTTCTGAAAATGTTGCATATCAGATGGTGTAGCAAATTGTCTATAGCACAGAACTATGAAGTTCTACACTCCAAAGCTTTTTAAGTAATTTTTCTTTTGGTAACTTCAGTTTAAGGAAAATGCAGACAGCACTTCAGAAAAATCTCAGTTCAGGGTCATATCAAATATCCATACACTTTCAGCAACAGCTAGTGTCCTCCGATACTGAAATATTCTTATTTTATGCTTAGTGTAGATTAAAATTAAAATCCTACTAAGACATGCAAGATTCAACTTAGCTGTTTTACATAAACACAAATAGAAAATTAATGTAATGTTGAATTTTAAATTCGTAGGACTGTTTATGACTTATAAAATGAAAAATAAAGACCTGGAAAGGATGGTTGAGATACTGTTTATTGACAAAACTCAATATTAAATAAATGCAACACTGGTGAATTTAACCTACATATGCCACCATCTCAAAGCAATCAGTTGTTGTCTCAAAAGCAAATTCAAGCAAGTCATCAATCCTACTACTTCAAAGTGAGAAGGATGAGCAAGAATAGGGAATTGTTTCTTTGTTTTCCAAATGGGACCTGCTTTCACTTGACACTCTCGGTTGAACCATGCTCTGAAATTTTAAAAAAATCCCATTCCTTTACACTGTCACTGAAAAGTAGAGTTGTGTAGATTTAAAGAAGCATGGGGACACAGTCTATTTCATGGCTGATGAAGACAATAACACCACAATGACGACAACGTGACTAATAGCCTGCGTGAGGTCAAGTGTCTCCTGAACCCTGCCACTTTCAGTTAATTCAATTATCTTCAGCAAATTATACATTAAAAGACAAATGCAAGCCATGAACATAAGAAGTAACTCTACGTAGAATGACATCAGATTAAGTACAGTTTAACAGATTATGTTCTGTGCTGAACAGCCAATTTTATTCTTTCCAAAGCCTACTGTAATTTGGAAGGAGCAGTGTCAGATTTGCACAGTAGGGACCACAGTAAGCACTGCCAGAAAGAAAATATCCTCATTGCATTCTCAAAGGATGAAGAATAAAGGTCAGGAAGTATCAGCGAGATACCAGCAAGCTCCATGCACAAGCAATGCGCCTGAAACATCTCCTCTGCTTCAGGTTTTGAGAGGACTTCTTAGCATAGGGGGTATAGCTCACAAAGAGGCAATGGAGACCTGCCCTCCTTGCAAGCTTAGAGCTTTCCCAAAATGCAATACTGGGAATCACAGAATAGTTACAGTTGGAACGGACTTCTGGAGGTCATCTAGCCCAACCCCTCTGCTCAAGCAGCGTCACCTAGAACAGGCTGCCCAGGACAGAGTCCAGATGGCTTTTTAATATCTCCAAGAATGGAAACTCCACCACCTATCTGGACAACCTGTGCCAGTGCTGAGTCACCCTCTCAGTGAAAAAGCATTTCCTTCTGTTCAGACAGAACCTCCTGTATTTCAATTTGTGCCCATTGCCTCTGATCCTGCCACTGTGCACCACTAAGAAGAGTCTGACTCCATCTTCTTTACACCTTGTTATTTGTACACATTGATGAGATCCCCACTGAGCCTTTTCTTCCCTAGGCTGAACAATCCCAGCTCTCTCACCCTTTCTCCATCTGTCAGATGCTCCAATCCCTTAAGTATCTTCATGGCCCTACAGTAGGCTTGTTCCAGTAGAATCACAGAATCACAGAATCATTATGGTTGGAAGAGACCTCAAAGATCATCAAGTCCAACCGTATACCCGATAGCTCCACAACTCTCTTGTAATGGGGAGCGCAGGTGTTCCATCACCTTCTCAGGGATTGAGGTGAGGCCAACTGGCCTGTAGTTAGTGCTCTGGGTCCTCCTTCCTGTCCTTTTTGAAGACAGAACAGACATTTGCTTTCCTCCAGTCTTGAGTCACCTCCTCCAATCACCATGGTCATTCAAAGAGGATCAAGAGTAGCCTCACAAATGACATCTGCCAGCTCCCTCAACACTCACAGGTGCATCTCATCGAGGACCATGGACTTATGCATGTCCAGCTTGGCTTAAGTATTCTCTAACCTGATCTTCTTGCCCCAGGGGTATGTCTTCCTTGCTCCAGACTTTCCCCTGGTCTCCAGGGCCTGGGACTCCTGAAGGCCAATCTTGCTCGTAAAGACTGAGGCAAAGAAGGCATTCAGTACCTCAACCTTTTCCATGTCCTGTCACCAGGGCTCCTACCTCATTCAGCAGCGGGTGCACATTTTCCCTAGTCTTCCTTTTGTCACTTATTTACTTAAAGAAGCTCTCATGGTTGCCTTGGTCATCCCTCACTAAATTCAGTTCTAGTTTGGCTTTGGCTTTCCAAACCATGTCTCAGTATTCCTACCAGGTTACCTGTCCCTACTTCCACTTTCTGTATACCTCATAGAATCATAGAATAGTTTGGGTTGGAAGGGACCTTTAAAGGTCATCTAGTCCAACCCCCCTGCCATGAGCGGGGACATCTTCAACTTGATCAGGTTGCTCAGAGACCCATCAAACCTGACTTTGAATGTTTCCAGGGATAGGGCATCTACCACCTCTCTGGGCAACCTGTCCCAGTGTTTCACCACCCTCATCATAAAAACTTCTTCCTTATATCTAGTCTGAATCTACCCTCTTTTACTTTAAAACCATTACCCCTCATCCTACCACAACAGGCCCTCCTAAAAAGTTCCTTCCCATCTTTCTTATAGGCCCCCTTTTAGGTACTGGAAGGCTGCTCTAACGTCTCCCTGGAGCCTTCTCTTCTCCAGGCTGAACAACCCCAACTCTCTCAGCCTGTCCTTATAGGAGAGGTGCTCCAGCCCTCGGATCATTTTTGTGGTCCTTCTCTGGACTGGCTCCAGCATTTCTTTCCTGGACTGAGGACTCCAGGTGGGGTCCCACCAGAGTAGAGGGGCAGAATCCCCTCCCTCGACCTGCTGGCCACGCTTCTTTTTATGCGGTCCAGGATACGGTTGGCTCCCTGGGCTGCAAGCACACCTTCTTGGCTCCTGTCCAGCTTTTCATTCACCAGTACCTCCAAGTCTTTCTCTGCAGTGCTATTCTCAATCCCTCCTTTTGTGTTTGAGTTTTGCCAGGAGCTCCTTGCTCATCCACATAGGTCTGCTGAAATATTTCCTGACCTTCTGCTTTGACCACTCTTGAGCTTAGAGGAGATGATGTTTGAATACTAACTAGCTTCCTTGGGCCCTTCTTCCCTCCAGGGCCTTATTCAATGGGACTCTACTAAGCAGATCCTTGAAGAGGCCCATGTCCATTCTCCTGAAGTCCAGCACTGTGATCTTGCTTTTTGCCCTCCTTGCTGCCCTCAGGATTCTGAACTCCACCGTTTTGTGGTCATTACAGTCAAAGCTGCCTTCGACCTTCACAACCCAAACAAATTCCTCCTTGTTGGTGAGTATGAGGTCCAGCAGAGCACCTCTCCTCATCGGCTCCTTTATCACTTGTATCAGGAAGTTGTAATTGATGCTTTCCAGGAAGCACTTGGATTGTTTATGCACTGCTGTGTTGCTCCTCCAGCAGATATCAGGGTGGTTGAAGTCCCTCATGAGGGCCAAGGCCTGTGAATGTGAAGTTGTTTCTAGCCATTTATAGAAGGCCTCATCCACTTCCTCTTCCTGGTCAGGGAGCCTACAGCAGACACCCACTACAATGTCACCGATACCAGTCTGCTCCTTCATCCTAACCCATAAGCTCTCCGTGGGCTCATCATCCATCTCCAAGCACAGCTCCAAGCTCTGGGGTTGAAGAGTTGCCTTGAACACAGAGCAACCTCACATGTCATTGTAGCTTTCTCTCTCCCCTAAAAGTATCCCCAGTCCTCCATTAACTTTAATAATGGAGAACTGACCACATCATTACGGTTGTATATAATGACCACATTATATACGGTTTCTATAATTATTTATAGTTTGTAGTACAAAAAGAGCGAGAAAATTACATTTCTAAAACATGCACAGTAAGGAATCATCACTCCAAGCATGAAAATACACAGGACCTACAGAACCAATCTATTCATAAACTACTGGACAAGCCAAGAACATGCTCTAAGCAGTTATGTTGAAAAGCTAAATTACTGCCACTTAACTCCTTAGTAACGGCCATGAAAAGTCATATTACAGAATTTAAAACTATGAAACAATTATTTACAAGCAACTTTAAGAAAGACTACACAGTTGCTACAAAGATAACATGCTAGACTATTCTCAGCTTTGCAACTTTGCACACATAACATAGGTTCTGTCTGCATAATTAATGTATAATGTTAAACTGTATTCAAAAATTAAAAACTTTTTACTCATATAGGCACAATCCACCCATGCCCTTAATGGCTTTTGTAGACATAAATTTCCTATGTTTGGCAAGCAATAGTGGCTGACTTGTCACTTCTACTACTGCAAGGGATTAAGAAGATAGCCAGAAAAACAAGTAAGTTGTCTAACGATCACCTAAAAGGTAAATTATTTACGGATACTTAATCCTCTTTACACATTTCCCTCTTCCTTTCACTTTTAGAGGCCTCAAGGGATTAAAGTTTGCCTTCAAGCAGAAGTGCCTTAAGTACTAGCTATTCCCTCCAGGTTTGCTGCAACATGCTATTATTTTTTTTATTAGAAAGTCTGCCTATCGGCCTTTGGCATACACAACAATTGGTACATCAGGAAGGGCAAGCTGCATAAAAAATTAAAAACAATTTTCAATGGGAAAAAGGAAGTTACGCAGTCTATTCTTGCAGTATGAGTAATGGGCCTTTGAAGAAAGAGATAAAGAAGTTAAAAACATTACAATACAGCTATAGCTACAGTGTTAAAAAACCTGAGACTCAGCAAACTTTACGTAGGAATCCAGCCAAGCTTACCATTACTTCTTACAAAATAAGATGTATAAACTATTCTGTTAGACTGCTTAACAATTTAAGTACTACTTTGACTAAAACTCTCCCCACAGCATCACTACAGACATCAAAACGTTACCATCTGTTACATACCTAATTTTCCCCTGCTCTGTTAAATCTCCATCACTGTGTAATATTGTTGTTAGCAACCTCAGGGTAGAAGTTCCTGACTTGCTGTGGTTGTTCTTCATTCCTAGCAACCATCGAACCATCATCTTGATGGCCTGAATCTGAAAAAAAATTTGATATGTAGAAGTCAAATCACACCATAAGCCTCATTTCTTAAATAATCTTTATCTTACTTTAACCACACAGTACTTTCCCAAGTGGTTTTTGCTGCTATGAACATAAGCCTGTTAAGGCTGTAAAACATTTGAATACTGAAAGATAACTAGACATACTCTCACTAGACAGCAACTTTTTACTCAAAGTCTCAAGCATTTATTACAGCAAGTAAAAATCATACAATATTTAGTTAAAGTTTGAACTGTTTCGTCTACTAAGCAATCACATATTTTGTCCTACAAAAACTTTATCTTAATTGAGCTGACATCCATTAAACAGTGTTGAATAGGCAAAACAATTTATACTTATTAAGAAAATATTACTGGATCAAAAAGCAGAACACATTTTCATCTTCCTGTATTCCTATAATTCCTATAGGATTAGCAATCCCTATATATATAAATAAGGAATATATGTAATATTTGGGTTTAAATTTAAGACATGTAAATTAAAAAACGCTTCATAGCCATTTTTACTGTTAGAGTGTCAACCTGTATTAAGATAACTTGTCCTGGAAAAGAATATTTCTTTCATGGCTATTTAAAGACAAGCCTTAAAGCCTGTTACTTAGGATAACTTGTGTTTGCCTAATGGAAACATCAAGTGTTTTGAGGCAAGCTTCTAAAAGTATGCAGAATTCAGCAGCTATCATGAAACACTGAATAATTTCACATTTCTTTAGTGAAAATAAAGCATGAATTTGGAGATTAAGTTTGTTCTAGTATTTGAATCCCTTTGTCCTTTCATTTTCCTTCTATATGAGAACAGAGACAATAAAGACAACAGAAAGAGGAGTGTCCTCTTACAGTGAAATGAAAATGCTCATCTGAATCACATAGATATCCTTGGGGAAAAAAGAAAAACAACAAAACCAAACCCAAACCCTGAAGTTCAAAACACAAAACCCAAAAGCTTTCGAAAAACTAAGACACTTCTTGTACACAGTAACTTCAAATTTTCTCCTTAATGGGAAAGACAGTTCTAATAACTTTTTATATAAAACATTCACAATATCACCAAATAAAATTCATGATACAGTTGATCTATTCCATGTAACAAATGATCACAATTGTCCCTTCAGACCTAAGTTCTAAGATTGTCATCTGTACATGAGTTTACTTTTTAGCACTCCACCTACAGAATTCTAATCCTATCGGGTAACACCAGCAAGAGGCAGGACGTCTGTCACTCAAGAACTCAAAATGCAAATGGAGTTTGTGGAACAGAAATGCCATCGTCTTGCCCTAGCTTTCAAAGGGTCTTCCACTGCAACAGCTGTAAGTATCCACCAGAAGATTTTAATACAATAAAACTAAAATATAATACTAATAAAAACAAGCTAATGATTATAATGATAATTAATACTGAGTAATAATAATACTGATAATAACATAGCAGCAGATCTTTTGACAGCTCATCAATTCAGTTTCTTCATGTCATAACCAGTATCTGTAACCATTAGTACCTCCCATTTGCTGGGAGGACGGAAATATGCTAGCTCTATTTGGTCTTCAAGTATGACATATTCAGCCAGGGAACTGCCACATGTTATCTTGTGCCCTGACATCTGTGGTCAGCTCCTGAGCAATTTCAGTTTTAAACTTTGCTTCGCTCCTTGCCTTCCACAATTCCCTTCCCTCAATTTTACTGTCTGAATCTACTCTAGTCGTCCTCCCATGTAGCAAGTCCTAATCCCAACTCCTTCAGAATTTTCCTCTGACCCCACTATGTTCCCTGTTTCTTTGACGGTGTGTTGACACTCCATCAATCCTTCAGAATTAAGGATTCCCATGAAATTAGCCAGTACTTCTGGGCTACCTGCAGACTTAAACATCACATGAGTTTGCATTGCCCTCATGTTTTACATTTTTTCTTTGCAGCCAAACAGGATAACTATTAAAGGATAATTCTAGCTGGAAGGAGTGTCAGGAGGTCTCCAGTCCAACCTCCTGCTCAAAGGAAGGTCAGCTATGAAGTCAGGCCACATTGGTCTCTGTTTTATCCATTGTGGTGTGGAAAGCCTCCAAGAACGGAGGCTGCCAAGAGAGCCCGTGCAACCTGCAACCTCTTGCAACCTGTTCCATTGCATGACTGTTCTCAGGTTTTTTCCTTACATCCAGTCTGAAACTCCTGTTTCAACTTGTGTCCCATGAGCCTAGAATTCTCCTCTGAGATTAAAAATTATTATACACAACATGAAAATATCAAGAAAGTCAAAATACAGCATGGGTCAGAACCATATCAAAGGCCACAAATGACTGCTTTGTACTTGACTTAGCAGACCAACATGAACTACATGTATTTGAAGTGCAAGCAAATGTGATAGGATGTTATAATTTCTATCTGAGATAGTGAATATAATGTGACAGATCTCTGATTTGTCATATGAGAAAACTGCAGTTAACTACTACCTTCAAGTAAACTGTCAGTAGTAAGTATTGATGTTTAAGATTAAAATTAACAACTAAAAATAATCAACAGATAGTTATAACCATTTTTTCTGATCTAGAGGTTATCGTCATGCGTCCGTTGTAAAAGTATAATGGGCTCCCATCACATGTAGCGATCCTAGAAACACTGCCTTCCTACTACATCAATATTAGGACAACAGCTAGCTCAGGTTTCTACTACCTGAGTTTTCAGTCACAAACACTGCAGGTTTGTGCAGCAGTAAAAAGTGAAACAATTCCCACTTAAAGCACAGTTAGAGAAATAGGGTGAGAAACCTTATATCGCAGTGTATATAGAAGGAAACAAGAAAGATCACTACTACTACCTAAGTCCCAATCCACTGCGTGGTACACAGAAGTATTCAGTACTGGTCACTGTCAAGAGAGATTACTGTTTTATGAGCAGGCATTCAAGTGCCAGGTGTAGGAATTCAAGTTGAACTCATACAATAATTAATCCAACTCATGTTTAATACTGTACTGAAACATTTCTTTACAAACATTATTTCGTTTAAGGTTTAGCATCCAAAACTAAGGCTAGCCTATACCAGTCTACATCTGTTACGCTGGATGATACTGAAATTTTGTCTTCAACAGTCCTTCCCCCTTTCATACTTAAACTTGCTAGTTTTAAGTTCCCCATTAGATACATTATACAGTTCTGTTACAAAGGGAGAAAGAGGCTTTTAAAACCAAAGTGACGAAAAATACACTGTCAGAGAGGAATCGTTTATAAACTAATGGTGTGGCCTACAGCATTCATTAAATATAGGCTTCGCGGTGGTAATAAATGCTAATTAAATCTGCAAATCAATTTTCACAATAACCTGTTTTCACTTGCCAATAAATGCTTCTTACAGTTTTCAGGCTTGGCTTCAACTACAAATTGCCTTAGGATTTTCTATAAGCCAATTCCCTTCCAAATAGCCATTGTATGCAAAGTTTTTTCAACATAAAAGCCCATTTCAGAGAGATATTACAGCTTCACACATCATTAAAAAAATTACAAAAACCAATTAATATTTACTACTTCAAGTTGCATGTATAATCACTGAAGTGAAATCGTGCCTTAAACTAGCAGTTCATGAAATCAAAACAAACATGTATTCTTTTCACAGGTTTTGGAGTGTACTGTGTAACTACAGAATTGCACAAATATGAAAAATATCCTTGCTGTAGTCAAACAAATAAAAAGCTAACAAATCAACTTCAAACACAACTGAACATTTCCAGTAATGGGTCCTGTATCAAGCTGGAAACCATCGTACTTACTAAACCAGCAGAGAAGGAGGTATGATACAAAGATTTTAACAACCTCAAGAGAGAAGACAACTTTTTTAAAATCAGAGCAACTTTATTCAAAAGGCATTGGAAATCAAATGACTCCTGTAATTAAATTAGAAACAGCCTGCTACAAAGTACATGCATCTTTAATTCTGAAAGAAAATGTGAAAGCATAATCTATCCCTGTTCTGAAGAAAGAGCTTTTGAAAACAAATACAGGCATAGGATGTATGTTCCAAAGTGTATGTCCATCTCCGAGTGAAAAATTGAGTGAGAATATCTATTATCAAGTCCAGAAAATGTAATAATAAACTTACTCCAACAAAAGAACGAGCTTGAGATGACATTTTTAAGTAAAAAAACAATGGAACCCCCACCATTTTAAAGTTTGGTGGTTTTTTTTTTTTCCTTAAGTCTAGGTTTTTCTCTAGTATACATTGTACACAGCAATGTAACACATTTATTCATTTGAGGAAACTGACGAATCCAAACCCAATATTTTCTTTATTCCAAAACCAAAAATTTCTTGGAATGTTCTAAAAATTCAAAAGAAAAAGGTTAGATTTTAAACAAAGTCTCTATGGTATTTAACTCCTACGTTCAACAGGAGGGAAAAAATAACTTTACTTTTACTGTGAATAATATCTGGAATACTTAAGTGTTGTACACCAAAGCTAAACCTATAAAAAACTATAATAAAGATTCAATAAAGTCTGTATATAAATTTATTACAACAGTAAAAAAACAATAGATGCTCCCAAAAGCAAATTCTTTTCTCCTGGCAATCGAAAAATGTGTACTCTGATAAGATCATCAATTTAAAAATAGTTACTTCTTTTTTACCTTCAGAAAGGTGACAAGGAAACAGAGAACAGCAGTTGACAGCTTTAGGAATCCAGATATTTAACTTACTTTATTAAGTATTATACATACAATCATCAGAAATTATAGTAAGTGCTACTTACTTTAACAAGTGTTTCAGGAGACACTTCTTCATCTGGGACCCAAAGTTTTGTTGTCTTTTTTCCTGGAAGCTAAACCAAAAGTTACATTTTGTTACACTACTGTTACTGTTCAGTGAAACCTACTGATATCTCCTCTTTCCTCTTTGCTTCTGAAAACAACAGAGCCGCACTCCCTGGTTAGCATTATGCTTTCTGTATTTTATAGAAGTAACCATTACGGAAGTGAGATACTGTTCTTACCTCACTATTCAAGTATCAGCAGATGTAACAGTCATAAAGGGGGTTTTGTGGTTCCTGGTGTGACCTGAAAACTATTGCTTTAGAGTGCAATAGCCATTGCTTTGAAACAATGGCTGACAATGCACAAGTTCTTTTTATCACTTTATAATCACTATCAATTAAGTAGTATTAGAAAAATTAGAATTCAGTCTTCCATTTAAACAGTGTATTTTAGTTTCAAATGCATTATACTTCCTTTAAAAAAAAAAAAATCACAACTTGCTGGCTGAAGACAAGAGACTGAGTGCAGTCAATACTAATTTCCCCATTTTTAACAAAAAGCAAGTCCTGAATGATCAAATGCTCTGCTATACAGCTTGTCACTTTTGTAAGGACTACCAAAGGAGTACTACCTCCTTTCCTCTACTGTGAGTTTTCAACTGAATCAAACAGCCCACGTGGAAATCAAAAGGCAACCATATACAAAAAGTAGAACCAACAAGCCAAAAATTTTCACAAGTATTTGCTCAGTAATATACCACAGGAGAAGAAGAATCCTTATATGAGGTTTTAAAAATACTTACCCTATCATTCATTAGCAAATCTTTAACAATAAAAGTGGCAACCAAAGATTTCAAAGGGGCAGCAAACTGATCAGGTGCTAGCATGGCTATATGGCCAATAGTAACCAACGGTGTAATGAGATGCTCAAAATTGCTTGGATCCAGACTTTTATGCAGTGGCTAGAATAAAAGCAATAAATTCAGGTATTACTGATACAATCTTTGTCTTATTGAGGGGAAGGCGTTGGGAGTTCTGTACCAAGTTGTCCACGTCTATTTCTATTTCAGAAATACAATCTTAAAAGAACTATTAACTATTTAGATTAACTACTTAGATACAGACACATTCACCAACCCTACAAGCCTCCTAAAAACCAAAAGAAAAATCAAGACGACAGACAAAATGTTTATCACATATGGGTAGTTCAAAAAGTGGCAGCTCAAGCAGGACAGTTTAGGAAACAAAGGATTAAAAAGCATATTTTCTTGTTGAAGAAGTGGGAATACATTTCAAGATGGCAATTTCAGTAATGAACTATGATTCAGCCTTCAAGATAAAAGGCTGATGGGCACGAATTAAAAAGCACATTTGCAGTTATAACTATAAAATCTATTTAAATAGTCTCTACCATAATTCAGTTTTCCATAATTTCTATAACCATTTCAATACTTCGGGCCAGTCCCAACAGGGGTGAGGAGTGGTGTATGGTTCCTCTTTCCAGAGTTCGTGGTTCTAGAAGACAGTCCAACACTTTTACTCTATCGTCTGTTAAAATACATAACCCTAAACATGCTGGATTGTGGGATTCAAAACCACCCTCCACTACCATTTTTCAGGCCAAACTGTATCAGAACAAAGGAAAACATGAAAAATATCTTTTCTAAGTTTGGTACAACTTGCCATATAAATTACTACTACATCCTTTAGTCTACATATGCAATATAAAAACATCAGTAAAAATTAAATATTTTAATTTTACCTCAAATATCTGTGCAAACTGTGTTTCTTTGCTGGAAAATATTGCATGGATGCAGTGAATAGCATACTTGGCTTGACGAGGGGGTCCCTTTTTAGCTTTATGATGCAACACTGGAAGCAAAGCACTTTTTTTTAAAAAAAAAAAAAAGACGAGAGAGATAAGTACCTTTTCACAAATTGAAAATCTTCAAAAATATCAAACTAACAAAAAAGTACAGATATACATATAAAAAACACAACATTTCTGCAAAAGTGCTAATTGTCCTGGTTTTGGCAATTTCTTCAAAGAAAAAAAAAAAAGGGTTATTTACATGGCTTGTGAGTAAAAAGCCCCTGGTTTTTGTTGATAAAATATCATGTGGTAAAACAAACAAGTCACTAAATGCTCTTTTGGAAATACTCTCGTCTACACATCACCATTAAACTGAAGAGTGTTTTTACATTGCCATATATTTAATTTAGGAAATAATATAAGTAATTCTGAAGGGCAATGATAAAAATTATAGCAGTATCAGTGACGTATCAGTTGTCACTACTTTGGATATATTTATTTCACTTCAGTTCTTCAAAAAGCACTGCATTGTAAAGTCATTCAAAATCTCTTTCTTGTTTTACCTTTAAGTAATACCTTCTTCCAAAAGAATGCAGGATAATGTTATAGCATGCAAAAGGAAGAATGAGAACTTTCAAAATCCCATATACTGAAGAACACTACGGAAACAGAGTAAGATATACAACTTACGATCGTATATGAGGAAAGTCTTCTTCAATTTTACTTCCTGTGTTTTTGAAAATTTGTAATGCAGCTTCTGCCACTTTTTCATCATCCATTTTCAAGCAAGCCAGGAGAGATTCAAAAGTTTCAGCTGAATGAAATGAGATAGGGTGCGTAAATGAAAGTACCTGCCAAAATAAGATGAAAGCCATGTTAATATTTTTTAAAGGTCCACTTACATAGAACATTCCATCATTCCATCAAGAGTCATTTTCCACTGCCATACTGGAATATTTACAATACTTTGCCTGGTTTTGCCACGTGATCCACATTTCTCTTTTTCTGACTTTTTTTTTTAGTGCCTGCTAAACTTTGCTGTCTTTATACATTATTCCATCAGGTTTAACTTCTTTCTCCAGTCTCAATTACTTCTCCTGTTACTGTGAACATGTATTTCTCAGTGGCTACATCTACATTAGCACGTACTGGGTTACAGCAGAAGTAGGTCTTAAGAGAAACACAATTGATGCTAAGGAAGCAATATTCATATTTCAAGGGTTTTACTTCAGAGTATTTGTAGACTGACTGAATTCACTTTAGCCACTGCAACACAACATGTGCTTCTGAAGCCCATCTCATAATTTTGCTTCTCTGAAAGGAATCCAGCCTGTGTGTTCCCAGACTTCATGCTTGTTTGTTAAGTGGAACAACTGGTCGTGCTCTGAAGTGAAGTACTTATCCCTAAAGTAGTAATGCAGACATACCCAGTAGGGTCTGTAGTCCCTCAAGCTTTCCACAGCAGCTTACCAGATCCCGTACCTCTCCTTCAGATTCTTGGACTCCGTTTCCAAGAATGACAGTCCTCCCATGTCAAAGAAAACCAAAATGCAACACTCCCCCTGCCTGCCAAAAACCAAACCCCCAGCCCCCTCAATCAAACAAAAAAAACCCCAACAAAAACACCCAAACCAAAAAAACCACCTCATTTGCCTTCTCTTCATATTTAAGTGGCTGTTGATTATCAGCCTCGTTCCATATAATATTCTGGCCCGTAGCAAAGAAACGATCCTCAAAATCTAGGAACTTCTTCACATGCGGTTTTCTATTTTCACCAAGTTGCCTTCCTCCCCACTTCATTGTAAGCTGTTCCCTTTTCTGGACTTCTACATTTGTCCTTTCTGGATTCTTCTCATGATGTACAGACCACTTTCTTCAGGGCAATCTTACTCCTCTTCCTTAAACGTATCGTGCCAGTTCATATGAATATGTAGGTACTGACCTGGAAGCCTTCTTTCAAATACATAGTCCTCTATGACATGATTCATTCTTACTGAGATTCACTTCTGTGTTACTGGGTTTTTGCACTTTTATCTAAATGTGCACTTCTGCCTCGAGAGTCACATTCTCTCAGATGATTCTACTAGGCCCTCAGTTGACCTAAGATATTCTGAAAACTTCAGTATGGGAGTCCTATAGATTTTGAGGCCTCTAAAGTCAACCCACAGCTGGACTACTCCCAACACTATCATATACCTGAGGTGGTACTATGGCACAAGTACCTTTCTGTGCAAGTACAGGCAAAGCTCACACTACGTACTGCTTTTAGCCTAAAGTCTTTGGGAGAGATTATGTGAAACAAAAAGCCCTATGTAGTTGCATTTCAAAAGTTTCACGTTTTTAACAATATCTGTAAATAACACTGTGATCAACCCTTTTCCTCCTAGGAGAAAGGGAGAACAGAGTAAGAAATGTTGTACAGTATCCCCAGAAATGCGTCTTGATGGCATTTACTATGTTAGCTGAATCTCAAAGACTACACATAGTTGAAATAGGTAAGATCCCAATTTATGTGGACCTTGGGAATCACAGTATTGTGCTGATACAAAAATACAGTTTCAAAAGTAGTATAACTATATTCAAAAACCACTGAATCTAATAATCAAAATGCAGCTGCTGATGTCACACACGTAACTACTTTTGACTTCCAGAAAAAACTTCTAAATGAGTTATAAAATAACCTTACTTATGTGCCACATAAGATGAGCATAGAGAACAAACACCAAAGCAGTATTCTTCCAGATATCCACCATAAGCTTATGGCTAAAGATACTGAGTGCTAATTAAAATTTTATTTCAACAAAGTTGCTTCAGAAAGTTTAACATGCTCACTGACTACCAGGAGTATACTTGCCTTAAGCAATTCAAGACCTGCTCTGATTGCCTGGTCAGTAGGTACACCTTCATCTTCATCATCAGCTGTTCCATCTATAGACTTGTTTACTTGCTTGATAAGGGCACTGAAGAGGAAAACAAAACATGGCCTTGTATTCACTGCAATTCCACCGTGTATGACTGTTTTCGTAAGTTTAAGATACAATCTTATTAAAGGAACTAACCTTGCTATAAAACAAATATCAACTACATAAATAATCTGGTCGCCTTCGTCTCCTATCTAAATCAAAGCTTATGAAGCATGAAGTTCAAAAACGTTTAGCCATCACGAATTAAGAACTATATACAAATTACTCTGAAAGGATGACCAAAATAAGAAAACAATTTGGGCATTACAAGCAACAAATTCAGGTAAGAATTATGGTGAGGTTACCAGCTGCTATGAATTCTTAATAACTGATGGAAAATTGCGGCTGGTGCCACAGCCAGGGGTGTGGCTACCTTAGACCATGGGACTCGCTTTGAGAAACCTGGCCTACTGGGAGCTGATGGGGTCCATCTGTCAGAGAAGAAGAGCATCTTCAGTCATAGCCTTGCCAAGCTGGTGGAGAGGGCTTTAAAGTTGCTGGAGGAGGGTAACCTCAACCCACCCCACTCTACCAGTTTGAGGCCGGTGCTAGCAACAGATGCCCAGAGGCTGGAGAGGGATCACAGGGCGGCAGGAGAGCACCTGAAGAGCAGCACAGAGGAATCCCAGCCACTCCAGCTGTGAGTCAGGGCACCCCAGCTTAAATGCCTCTATGGAAACACTCGTAGGACAGGGAATAAACAAGAGGAGCTGGAGACGTGCGCACGTCTGCAGGGCTACGATCTTATTGGCATCATGGAGACGTGGTGGGATGGCTCCTAGAACTCATTGGAATGGAAGGATACAGGCTCTTTGGGAAGGACAGGCAGGGAAACGAGACAGGGTGTCACCCTCTGTGTCAATGAGAGCTGCAGTGCATAGAGCTATGCTTGGGGATGGATGAGGAGCTGACCAAGAGCCTATGGGTCAAGGTTAAAGGGAAGGCAGGGACAAGTGACATTATACCGGGAGTCTGCTACAGGCCACCTGACCAGGAAGACCAAGCAGATAGGGGCCTCTATAGACAAATAGGAGCAGCCTCGTATTCACAAGCCCTAGTCCTCATGGGGGACTTCAGCCACCCCAATATCTGTTTAAGGGACAACACAGCGGGGCATAAGCAACCCAAGAGGTTCCTGGAATGCACTGGGTGATAACTTCCTTCTCCCAGTGACAGAGGAGCCAAAGAGGAGAGATGCTATGCTGGACCTTGGTCTCACCAACAAAGAGGGGCTGGTGGGGAATGTGAAGCTCCAGGGCAGTGAGGAGGGCGCACAGCAATCTCCGTACCCTGGACTTCAGGAGAGCAGACTTTGGCCTCTTCAGGGAGCTGCTTGGCAGAGTATCATGGGATAAAGCCCTGAAGAGAAGAGGATCCCAAGAAAGCTGGTTAATGTTCAAGGATCACCTCCTCCAAGCTCAGGAGCGATGCATCTTAACAAAGAAGAAGTCAGTCAAAAACACCAGGAGGCCTGCGTGGATGAACAAGGAGCTCCTGGACAAAATCAAACACAAAAGGGAAGCCTACAGAGGGCGAAAGCAAGGATGAGTAGCCTGAGAGGAATACAGAGGAATTGTCCAAGCAGCCAGAGATCAAGTTAGGAAAGCTAAAGCCCTGATAGAATTAAATCTGACCAGGGACATCAAGGGCAACAAGAAAAGCTTCTATAGGCATATCAGTGATAAAAGGAAGACTAGGGAAAATGAGGGTCCTCTCCAGAAGGACAGGGGAGACCTGGTTACCCAGGACATAGAGAAGGCTGAAGTACTCAATGACTTTTTTGCCTGTCTTCACCAGCAAGTGCTCCAGCCACACTGCCCAAGTCGCAGAAGGCAAAAGCAGGGACTGGGAGAATGAAGAACCGCCCGCCATAGGAGAAGGTCGAGTTTGAGACCATCTCAGGAACCTGAAGGTGCGCAAGTCCATGGGACCTGATGAGATGCATCTGCGGGTCCTGAGGGAACTGGTGGATGAAGTGGCTAAGCCACTGTCCATCACATATGGGAAGTTGTGGCAGTTCAGGGAAGTTCCCGCTGACT